TGATATTTTGATATATTCCAAATCAGAAGAAGAGCATGGAAAGCATCTTAAAGTTGTATTGGAGGTGTTGAGGGAGAAGAATATTTATGCCAAGTTTTCGAAATGTGAATTCTAGTTGAAGGAAGTGAGTTTCCTTGGCCATGTGATTTCGAGTGGTGGAATTTATGTAGATCCTATTAAGGTTGATGTTGTGTTGCAATGGGAGACTCTGAAATCTGCTATTGAAATACAAAGTTTTCTTAGTTTGGCTGGTTATTATTGCATGTTTATTGAAGGATTTTTGAAGTTGGCATTACATTTGACTCAGTTGACTCGAAAGGGTCAAGCTTACGTGTGGGATGTTTCATGTGAAAAATGTTTTGTGGAACTAAAGAAGAAGTTGATGACTGCTCCAATGTTGGTTTTACCTAATTTGAGTGAGTCTTTTGCAGTATATTATGATGCATTGAAGATGGATCTTAATGGTGTATTGATGAAGAATTTTCAGTTGTTGCTTATGTTTCCAGACAACTGAAGTTTCATGAGAGGATTTATTCTACACATGACTTAGCGTTGACAGTTGTGGTATTTCTTTTAAAATTTTGGAGGCATTATTTGTTTGGCTCCATATTCGAGGTATTTAGTAATCACAAGAGTCTGAAGTATCTATTTGATCAGAAAGAGTTGAATATGAGGTAGAGGAGGTGGCTCGAACTTCTGAAAGATTATGATTTTGATTTGAGCTACCATTCAGGTAAAGCTAATATTGTGGCTGATGATTTGAGTAGGATGTCCTTACATATGTTGATGCTTATGGTGTGAGAGTTCGAATTGATCGAGGAATTCAGAGATATGATCTTGGTATGTGAAGAAACTTATAACAATGTGAAGTTGGATATGTTGAAGCTGACTAGTAGTATCCTTGATGAGATTAGAGAGGTACATGGGTCCGATTCGACTTTGGTTGACCTGTTACTGCTAATTAATCAAGGTAACGAGGTGATTTCCGAGTTGATGAGAATGATGTGATGAGGTTCGGAGATAGTGTGTGTGTGTGTGTTCCAGATGTGCTAGAACATAAGAAGAGTAATATTGAGGAAGGACATCGAAGTGGTCTAAGTATTCATCCTGGTGCAACGAAAATGTATCAGAACTTGAAGAAATTGTTTTGGTGGTCAGAACTTGAAGAAATTATTGAGTTTGTTTATGCTTGTTTAACATGTAAGAAGTCAAAGATTGAGCACTAGAAGCCTTTGGGTCTGATTCAACCGTTGAATATTCTAGAGTGGAAATGTGACATCATATCCGTGGACTTTGTGTCAGGTTTACAAAGACTGCTAAGGGAAGTTATTCAATTTGGGTGATAGTGGATAAATTGACTAAATTGGCTCATTTCTTACCGGTGAGGATCAATCATCCCATGCAGAGGTTAGCCAAGATGTATATCGAAGAGATTGTGAGATTACACGGTATACGTTTAAGCATTGTGCGGATAGAGATCTGAGGTTTACATCAAGGTTTTAGGAAGGTTTGCAGAAGGTTTTGGGTACTAAGTTGAAGTTGAGTACTGCTTATAATCTGCAGACGGACGATTAAACAAAGAAGACTATTCAATCTTTAGAGGATTTGCTGAGAGCTTGTGTGCTAGAATAATGAGGTGCTTGGAATAACCACTTGTCATTGATTAAGTTTACTTATAATAATAATTTCCATACTAGTATTGGGATGTCACCTCATGAGGCATTGTATGGTAGGAGATGTAGGACTCTGTTGTGTTGGTATGAGTCAGGCAAAAATGTTATGCTCGGACCAAAGATTGTGCATCAAATGATAGAAAAGATCAAGATGGTCCAAGAGAAGATGAAGGTTTCAGTGAGTTATCAGAAGAGTTATCATGATAAGAGGAGGAAAACACTTGAGTTTCAAGTGGAAGATCATGTGCTATTGAGAGTTACCCTGGTAACAGGTGTTGGTAGAGCCTTGAAGTCTCGTCAGATCACTCTATGTTTTGTTGGTCCATACCAGGTTATGCAGAGGGTAAGCGAGGTGGCCTATCAGACTGCTTTATTGTCGTTGCTTCTTAACCTTTATGATGCGTTTCATGTGTCTCAGTTAAGGATATATATTCTGGATTCGTCTCATGTGATCCAAGTGGATGATGTACAAGTGAGAGATACCCTGACTGTTGAGATATCACCCATGTAGATGGAGGATCAAGAGGTGAAGCCGTTACAGGATAAAGAGATTTTCTTGGTGAAGATAGTGTATGGAGGACCAGCTGGTGAGAGCATAACTTGGGAGCGTGAGGATCAGATGAGAGAGTCGTACCCGACTCTGTTTTCTTCAGGTAATTTTCGAGGACGAAATTTCTGTTAGTAGGGAAGAGTTGTAAATCTCAAATTTATAATTATGATGCTTATGTGTTTATTTATGAATATTGTGTGAATTATGATGTTGTGTGCTAGAATATTAGTGGAGATGTAAGTGAGAGTTAGAAATTATTTAGTATTATTAAATAATAGCTTTTATGTGATTTATTAATAAAACTAGTAAAAGACATGTGCGTCCGCACGAGTAAATTCATTCATATCTTAAATAATTCAATAAAGCTTAGTTATTGTTGATATATAACTAGTGAGATACTCTTACGTTCGCATGGATACTAAAATGGGACACGCATTTGTTTCCAAAATATAATAAAAATGAAATAAAAAAAATTAAATTGTTTAACCAATAAATTTTATTATTTTTTAAAAAATATAATAAATTGGTATTCAATAATAAAATATAACAAAATCTATCGGTAATTACATATTTCCGTTAATATTCAATATTTTAATGAATAACTTCATATTCTTGTTAATATTAAATAAGTTTCATAAATTTTGTTAGAAGTATTCATGTGTTTCCAACAACTAAAATATAATACTATATAACAATGAATTGAAAAAGGAATGTGAATCAACATTAGTTAAAGAATTTCAACTTCTAATTAAAATAAAAAGTAGTTTCACAACAAAGAAATCATATAAGTTGCACATGTAACCATATGTAACACAGTGAAACCATACGCTCAAATTAAACTCACAAGGGTCTTAAAAAGGAGAAATCATATAAGTTGATACTAAAAAGATGTCACGTGAGTTTTTTATTTAGTTAATAAAATGTTGACGTCTGAAAGCTTAAATGAAACAATTCCACATAACATTCTTATTAAATTTTATGTTAGAGAAAAACTGAATATTTATGTACATTAAGGAAACTTTATAGAGTGATGCAATATTTCTGCTTACAATTTGATAGATAGTTTGTTAAACCGATTGTTAATCAAAGTTTCCGAATAAAATCTTAGGATAAGAATATCAAAATTGAACAAATAACTAAAATATACATTCTTAATTAAAAATAGAAAAGAATGAAATTTGCATTATTTTTAGTAAGAGTCAGTATCACCAGGAAAATTATCATTTAGCTATATTTGACCACTGATATTTCATAACAGAATCAAAAGAACACTATTGTCTCGCCTGCATCATAGAGAGATTGAAGCATAAGTTGCACTCTCAATATCTCATTTTATGATTCAAAGTTGAAATGAAAAATCAGTTTCACAAATATTGCACTCATACTGAACACATCAAAGTGAGATATTAATCATTCAAACTTTTTTGGACACATATCATTAATCAGAAGCCAAATGTTAAAGAAGCTCATTCAAGAACAATAATAATACATCGTGACCATAAATAATAACAAGTTAAATAAAAAATTTAAATGAAACAATCTTCAATCTCCCACACCTATTTCATACTGAGTGAATTGTAAGCATATAATGCTCTAGGCTTTTATAATAATTAAGCCGAACGTAAAATAAAATATGTCTTATCTAAATTTCATTACACAACAATCTATTTCATGTGGCTACCCACTCAATCTTTGGTTGAATATACATTAAACACCCAAGTACATACCTATATTGATCAGATTTAACCAAAGATGATCCATTTTTTCGCCTCTGATCTCATGCGCGGCCTTACGGAAATACCAGCTTTGATCATGCTTTCCGGCAATTTTGTGGCAGCATTTCTTATATATTGACAGTAACATTCATCCAGCTAAAGCCAAAATCTACTCTATTGCAGTATATATATAGTTTTACTTGCAGCATGCCGCGCACACAAGTCAGATAGCATAAGCAAATAGATTGAATTATAAGTAGTTTCTCAAGAAAAGAGACGGTAACTAATTCCTACTACATGTAGATTATTTCTTGATACCATCCACAACACAAGCAAATGTTGAATTTTCATTTTGATTCTTTTGAAGCTTATTACGACTGCTACAGAATGTAAAGTGAGCGTACAATTAGTAGTCATCTTAACTTTTAAGAAGTTGTAACTAAATGTATCAGATCAACAGGTTTTGTTGACCACAACCTATAAAGTCCAATGTTAGATGACAAAAAATGACAGTAGAAGATTTCGATTTTAAACTGAAGACAGAAAGTAGCATGCTGAATCATTTTCCTTGATAGTAGAAGATTTAGATCTTATGAAACCATTGTCCGCCTGCGAAGACGCCGACACAAATATTAAACATAAAAAGTTTATACTAGATAAGGAGCCAAAGAAGTTTAACCCTTGTCGTGTATGATCCTTTACTCATCCATCTTTCTCCATATAAAGTTCTATATAGTATTGCACCATGATCTGAGTTCAGCCTTGCATATATTTGCCAACATATCCAAGATCCCTCTGTTACAATTACGTGATGATCATGTGACAGCTCTAATAATTCACAAGATGTCTCTTTAGCATGGTAATCAGTAAACTTAGTACAAACTGCCGAACTGCACCAAGGCCATAATGTAGGAAGTAATGTGGTGTTTCTCCATTGTTTCAGTATGTAAATTCATTGGTTCAGTTGGTAAATTTATTAACATCTGTTTAAGTACCTATGATTTCATTGGCAGGAAATTCTACATATATAGGAATAAAAAAGCTAGGACATCTTCATGATTTCTATGACATGAGATCGGATCCTTCGTTATTACACCTTGACTGGCAAGATCTGCCGCTAGCGGTTTGAGTTTGATCCCGGTGTCGTATCACACATTGGCATTCTCTCATTGTCGCATCACGTGTTGCTTGATCCTGATATCACACAAGGAATTCAATTCGTCATGCTATTGTATTGGAACTCTTCAAATCGATTACAAAAAGAAAGTAACTGATCATAAAGCGAATTCAGAGACGTAAATGTCGGCATGAAGCTTTGATCTGTTCAAACACATAAACTGAATCATAAATAAACACATATTCTAACAGTTGCGTTTTCAGGTTTCATCTCCGAATAGATTCAATCTAATAGTTATTAAAGCTACATGACATCAAAGTAATTGGAAAAGGTGAATACCTGATCATTAGTTTCAGAAGTTGATTTAGTACCAGAAGTATCTGAACATGCTTTCACACCCAATTTTCAAGAAAGGAGAAAGAAATGAAACAATCTCAAAACACGAAATGTCAATAAAACTAAAAGATCTAGAATGATAATCATACTTCATAGATTAGTCCCTTTTTCTGAATAAATTTGTACAGGGAAATAAGGGTCATCCTCACCGGTATAGCAATGTATTCATGTCAATATCATCTGTAAGAGATTTAAAATTTGTCACCGAACTGCAAAGACTACCAAGCAATCAACTCTAACTAATACGATCGACAAAGATGAACCAAAAAACTTGACATGCGATATATCCAGAAACCATCAAAAGTTGTGACGTAAAGCCGAAACTGGCATCGAGTTACTCCAAACGCAGAGCCTGATGCAAATGGTCCCGACAGAATTTCAACGCAGCCAGTTTGAGGTTGCGAACGACCAGATGTTCCTCCATGGTGACCGAATTTCATCTTGTAGGTTGTACGTCCTAAGACAGGCACATTTTCGATTCAATTCTTCACGGTTTCAACAACATGTCAATCTCCAACTCTAGACTAAAAGCTAACCAGATGAGAGTCGAATGGTAGTTAAATGAATCTTGTAAAAAGAAATGGTCGAGTTTGAGACTCAAAGAGAAGAACATCTTAATCAACGCTCTTTTCTTAACCAAAAAATTGACGAACTTAAACAGAAAATTGTTGAACTAGAACATAAAAAATCCTAATTTGATTTGACTAGCGGCCTCTCGACGTAAGATGAAATCCGACAAAGCAATCTCGACGGCATCGCCCATGTTGAAAAGGCTATTAGTCTTAAAGAAAGCAGCAGTCAGTTGATGGCAAAGAAAGCGCGTCTTGATGACAATATTTCTTTTGAGAAGACCAGCTTTGAGTACCTAAAATCTCGATTTCCTATTTAGCTTCTATGTAATCTTTTGGGAGACACATGCTTACCATATTGGTTTCCTTCCATTTTGGTGATTTATATTTGTATAATATGTTTTATTCTACTGTAATTTGTAATTTGAATCTATTGAAGGATAGTTTTATATATTTTTCAAATATTTTCCATTTACTTTAAAGACTCGTTGGTCGAAACCTATTTCTCTGATTTCATAGGTATTATTTATAAATATTTTCATAATTTGAAATAGTCCTTTCCAATTTGGCGACCATTTCCCTGACGCTCGATCTCGTTGGTCCATAGGTAAAATTAGTTTCCAAAAATCAGATTCCAGTATTGGTTCGATGAAAGTTCATTCTGACATTGTATTCTTATGGACTGCAAATATAATTCGACCAGAAAAACATCACTATACCCAAACACTAGACAAAAAGGCGTTGAATTTGTTGCCTCCTTAGGGGATGTTCGACAAGCCCATAGTATTTGATCTAACATTTTATGTCAATTCTTAGGTTTCTAAGAAACATGTTTATTAATCAACTCAATTATCACTGTATTAGCATCCTCGACTTGGCCATTGGCTTGAGCATAATAACGTGTTGAGGTTAACAATTTAAATCCTGTTTCAAACATAAATTATTGCATCTTTTGACCTATAAACACTGACCCTTGGTCTGTAGTTATAGTCTCAGGAACTCCAAACCTATAAATTATATGTTTCTGGATGGATTCAATCACCGTGTCTTGATCCACACTAACTAAAGACATGGCTTCTATCCATTTGGTGAAATAATATATCCCCACCAGGATGAACCTCTATTGTTTCAATGACGCAGGTTGAATTTCACCTATAATGTCCAAATCTCATTCTAAAGGGCAATGGTTTAACGATGACATGCAATTCGCTTGTTGGCACATGTTGAATGTCTGCATGCTTTTGACACTCTTGACAGCCTTTGGCGAAATCTACACAATCATTTAACATGCTTGGCCAATATAAACCTTGCCGAAATAAAAGCCATTTCATCTTATTGCAGCTTGGTGAGCGGAACAAGTTCCATTGTGAACTTTCGACACTGCGACACATGTTTCAGTTTCCCCAACGAATTTAAGCAACATACCCTCAGAGGAAATAAAAGCCATTTCATCTTATGGCAGCTTGGTGAGCGGAACAAGTTCCATTGCCGAATTTAAGCAACATTGCTCATGCGAACGTAGCTTAATGCTTGGTATTTTATCTTCCTGTCAGTATTTTCGATTGGATTCTCTAGATACCTTACAATTGGCTTTCACCATTCTGTATCTAGTAAATTGTCAATGGCAAAATTTTCAAAAAAATTGTGCATATGGTCTTCCCCCCAAGCTTTTGGTGTTGACAATGTTTTGGGTGACGTCGAGATGACTTTCTCCTTTACTCCAACAAAGTCCCTCAGCTTGTTCGTCGACACTTTGTATCCAGACGCAATTTGGGCTAAATCATTTACCTCTTGATTCTCCACCCTGGGCACGTGTGTAATGCTTACCACTTCAAAATCTTCCAACAAATGGTTCACAAGTGCAATGTACATCATTAAATTCTCCTTGATACACTTATATTCTCATATAATTTGTTTGATCACCAACTCTGAATTACCTTTCACCTCAATTCTAATGGCACCAAAATCTCGCAAAATCTTGAGTCCAATAATTAATGCTTCACATTATGCCTTATTATTGGAACATTTTCCGTTGACTCGGCATTTGAATCTTGTTGGTGTTCCTTCTGGGGAGATTATTAAGATTCCTACACCGATTTCATTTTTCTGGCTCGACCCATAAAAATATAATTTCCAAGAGTCGTTGTTGACCATATTTACAGATGGCTCGACTATTGCATGATCTATAATAAAGTCTGCCACAGTTTGGCCTTTCATGGCTTTTAAAGGCAAATAAGACAAAGAAAACCAGTTAATGCTAATGCCCATTTCCCAATTCGACCATGTAATATGGATTTTGATAGCATATGCTTAATAACATCAAAATGAGAAGAAATATAAACCTCAACTGGTTTAATTTATTTCTTTAATGTCATACATGAGAAATACAAACATAGGCATAATTTTTCAATTGAACTATACCTAGTTTCTGCATCTATCAATACTCGACTAAGGTAATAAATGGGTCTTTCGACGCTATTATGATCCTCTTAAGTTAACATGCTTCCTATTGTCAAGTCAGACATATCTATATACAATCTCTTATTTTTGTTTTAACTTGGTGGCAATAAGATTGGAGGCTTTGTCAGATATTCCTTGATTGGGTCGAAAGCCTCCTGTTGCTTTTTATCCCATAGGAATTCTCCTTGTACTTTGATCTTGAGTAATGGCAAGAACACCTTTGTTTTTCCATTTAGATTCAATATGAATCCTCTCAAGAAGTTGATCTTCCACAACAAAGATTGTAATGCTTCTTCGTTGATGGAGGCTTGAGATTCAAAATTGCTTTTATTTTGTTTTAGTTGATTTCGATGCCTTTTTTGTGTACCACGAAGCTTAAGAAGTCTCCTGCATGCACACTGAAAGCACTTTTTAGTAGATTCATTTTCAATCTATATTTTCTCATCCTTTCGAATGATCGTCAAAGATGGTCTGTATGGCCATTTTAAGATGAAGACTTAATCACAATATCATCTATGTAAATCTCCATAAAGTGCTATATGAAATCATGAAATATGGCATTCATAGCCCTTTGATAAGTTGCTCCGACATTTTTAAACCAAATTACAATACAACCCATTCATAAGCCCCTAGGGCTCCTGGACATCGAAACACCGTTTTAAACACGTCATTGTCGGCTATAAAAATTGGGTTATACCCAGAATAACCTTCCAACATGCCCAAATATTCAAAGCCTGCAGCCGAATCTACTAACGTTTCTGCCACAAGCATCAAATACTCGTCTTTTGGAGTGTAGTTATTCAAATCCCTAAAATCTATGCAAACTCTAAGAGTTCCATTTTTCTTAATAACATGAACAATATTTGCTAGCCATTCGAAGTACCTGGGAGTTCTGATGAACTTTCTCTTTAGCAATCTCTCAATCTCCAGTTTGATCTTCAATGTGATTTCCTAAGTGAATCTTCGAAGATGTTGTTGTACCGGTTTTTTCCTTTGCTGGATAGGAAGACGATGCTCTACTACTTTGTGACTCAACCCAGGAATGTCACCCTAGTCCCATGCAAAGAAATATTTATACTCCTTCAATAAGTTAACCAATCAAACCTTCATATTCAACCCAACTTTTGTATCGATATGAGTTGGTCTCTTCGTTATGCCATCGCCCAAATCCACTTCTTCTAAAGGATCTTGGGCCTGCATTTTCTGCATTGAATTTAATGGGTCTTTCTTGAACCCCAAAGGCTCATCGTCATAGACATAATCTTACCTTCGGCTTTCTAAAGATGATGTTTGGCCATCTTGGCCTTCTCGACTTTTCGTATTAGCTCTCAAAGCTAAACTTTGCAATCTTTCGGCTTCCAAAGCCGGTTTTATTTTGTTTTCAGCCACATAGGCCGAAATCTGAGCCAACACTTCAGACTCACTGGTCATATCCTTTGACCATATTCCACCCCGTAGGTGGATTTTATTCCCTGGGCATCATTTCTTCTTCAATGTCCCACATGAATCCATGATTTGAATCCAAACACAGAAAACAATTTGCATTCTCTTTAGGAATGTCAATCTCAATATCAAAAGGCGCCACATGTGCTAGATGGTGGTCAAATTATTTATTTCTAACTCTACTCTCGTTGATTTTGTAGTAACTTTTATCAGCTTCAATACTTTTGACGATGCCATCTTTCCTCCAAATGGATATCTGTGATACGGTGGCAGAACCGACTGTTTTTACTGGTTTGCATTTTGCATTTTTTGTTCGCAAAATGTTGCGGTAAGCAAGAGTCACCACCGACTTTTATTTCATCCAATCCGGAAAAGGAAAAAGAATAGAAAAAACCTTTTTCGATAATATTTCTGAGTACGGAGGCTAGATTATAGAAAGGGAAGGTGTTAGCACCCTTTCTATCCATGGTTTTCCATGGAATCTTAGGTACTTGCTCATCTTTTTAAAATTGCTTGTGTGTGCTTGTTTTGAAAAAAAGTTTTACTTCGTGATAACCCTTGTATCAGTCCTCAAGGGTGTTACGAAGTTTGTTTTGAAAATTTGTTTTGAAAGGTGTTTGTGTGAAAAGTTTTGTTGAGTAAGTACTTAAGATTCTACCTACTCGAAAAAAGGTTGTTTGTTCTCATTTACTTTAGACAATGCTATCCTATTATTAAGGAGTAGGTAGTCCCGTCGTTGGATTTTGTAAGGGACATTTGAAAGGGACAAGTATGAAGAAGTGAAAAACACAAGAAGGGGGGTTGAATTGTAAAACTGAAAATCAATGCAATGAACACGATATTTTTATCCTGGTTCGTTTGATCTCAAACTACTCCATTCCACCCGTCAAGGTGATTTCGCCTCTCTCCAACGAGGTCTTAATCCACTATTTCAACTGAATATTACAATCTGCTTTAACAACTGCTAA